AGGAACCAGGGGCTGGGGCCAGGTGATGCGCAGGGACGTTGGGGTGCGGGAGGCCAAGCGCGGTGTTACCCAGGGCACCTCTGAGAGAACAGTGCAGGGACACCATGGGGACACCAGGGGACACCCATGAGATGGGGATTCCCTGGGATGGCTACACCCTGGGGACACCACGGGGACAACCCTGGGATGGGGCATCTAGGAGATGGGGACATCCTGGGAACACCCTAGGACATACTGGGGACACACTGGGAACACAAAAGGATGGAGACACTCAGGGATGGGGCACTGGGAGGCTCTGAGGGGCACTACGAGTGGCACACAGGGACATTTGGGGACACACTGAGGTGGCATGAGAATCCCCCCCATGGATGGGGAGAGAAGTGGGGGCTGTTGGGAGCACTGGGGGAACTCTGAAGGGCACTGGGGAACAGCTGGGTATGCACTGGTGTCACAGTAGGGGCGCCCAGGATGGGAGGGGAGAAGGGACAGCATTGGGAGCGCTGAGCTGGTGTCACTGGGAAGTCACAGGAGAAACATTCGGGAGCACCGGGAGCACTGGGGAGCCACCGACCTCGCAGCAGAGTCCCCTTCCATCCAGGGGTACACTCGGGGGTGCCCCAGTGCAAGCACGGGGGGGCATTGAGGTGGGGAGGACGGGAGGTCATGGAGGGACACTGGGAGCACTGGGGGGGCATTGAGGTGGGACGGGAGGTCACGGAGGGACACTGGGAGCACTGGGGGGCATTGAGGTGGGACGGAAGGTCACGGAGGGCTGCTGGGAGCACGGGGGGCATTGAGGTGGGAAGGACGGGAGGTGACGGAGGGCCGCTGGGAGCACTGGGGGGCATTGAGGTGGAGAGGAGGGGAGGTCACGGAGGGCCGCTGGGAGCACTGGGGGGCATTGGGACGCACCGATGTCGCAGCGGGCCCCGCCCCAGCCCGGGCTGCAGGCGGGGGTGGCGCAGTCGGGGCCGCTGAAGCCCGGGAAGCAGCGGCAGCGCCCGCGCTCGCACCGGCCCTGGTCACTGCAGCCGCGCGGGCACGCGGGGGGCGGGGCCGGGGGCGGGGCCTCGGCGGAGGGGGCGGGGCAGGCGCAGCCGCCGCCGGCAGGGGGCGCACAGAGCTGCACCGACCGACCTGGGGGGACACGGGAGTCACCCTCACTGACCCCCAGTGATCCACCCACAATGACCCCCACAATGATCCCCCCGGTGACACCCTCAGTGATCCCCCCAATGACCCCCCTAATGACCCCCCCAGTGACACACCCCCAATG